TGATACTTTTGGTCAAAGGTCATCGTTTAAAACATCGATCAATGTTCGCGCAAGCGAAGAAAGTATGTTGGCAAATATTTGGACAGTATTTGAGTATAATATAGCAATAAATTTATTATTGATTGTTTAAAATATACATTTTTGCTAAATCAAAAAGTCATGGTCAAATCGTGCATTTTTATTAATATATGTAGATATATCCACGCGACATATTATAAGAATTAAAAATACTGCAAGAGTCAAAACAAGAAAGTGTTCGCATTTATTATAAAACTTTTTCACAAATTGTTGAATCATGAAAAACAATATAAAATTAGATTTCTGTCATTTCGTTATAGCACCAAAGCAAATTATCAATTATAAAAATATATATATATCACTTGAAACAATATAATGTTATCTAATATGTTTAGAATTTCGATATTATCTAATTAGATTTGCTTGTTTAATTTACCGCGTGATGCGTTCTATTCAATTACCGGCAATAAATTGATTTCCTATTAACTATTCATTGAATATTCATCGCAACAAGAAATACATCGTAGAAATATCAAAGAAATTGCTCGTCAATTATTCATATCAAATAATGACATATAATATTACAATTGAATGTGGATGCAATCCATCTTAACGCTGACATGTTTATTATCGGTAAGATGAATTGTCACCTTACATCCCATTCAAACATAATATTATTCATCTCCGAGTTCGTCAAATTAAAAATTATCCCGTGTTAAGACAACTGACACAAAAATGTGTACCTATTATTATTATCGTTCTGATGAAACCAAATTAAGAATGCGCGACATACTGTTAACGCCCCTGATAACTCGCTCTCTCTCTCTCTCTCTCTCTCTCTCTCTCTCTCTCTCTCCTCCCCCTCCCTCTCCTCTCCCTCCCTCTTTCTCTGCCCCCCCCCCCCCTCTCTCTCTCTCTGTCCTGGTCTCTGTCTCTCTGAGCAATAGTTCATCGTTAGACAAATTTATCGAGTTAAGACGCGACATATAGTGCTCCTCGAGCACCTAACTACATCGTAAATTAGACGAAAATGCTACTGCTTTCGCACTCTCTCTCTCTCTCTCTCTCTCTCTCTCTCTCCCCTCCTCCTCCTCTCGCTTCCTTCTTTTTTCTCTTTCTGCACAATGAACGTTCCTTCGCAAAACTGATAAATACGTGCATATGTATGACAGCTACATAATTAATTGTAAGTTCAAACTAAGTTATTCCATGCTCGTAACAAAGTTTCTTGAAATAGTATAAATCGACTTCTTTCAGCTCTAGGTGCTTTCCAAATAGACTTTTTGCATTTCAAATAAGATAAGTGTATATTCAAAGTGACTGTAGGTGAAGAAAAGAAAAGAAAAACTAAGAAAGGTGTAAAAAGTGTGAAAAGCTAAATGCACAGCATAGAAAAAACAAAGCGTCTGTTTAATACCCACTATATTATTTGCATGCTTGAATATTTAAATTTTTAATGCACTTTTTTAATATAGTTAGTATGAAGCCAAGTTATCTAATTTATATGCGTGAATCTTAGCAGAATGCTACTTCTTTCTTTAAGGCGAACATATATATAGCTAAGAAATGCAATTAATTGGAACAGGAAACTTGCGAACAAGAATTCATTTTATGAAATTGAATTTGTAATCGGCGACATGAAGAATTAGATTGAAATTGTCTGAATTTTCTATCCTTTCCCGCTCTCGACACTTACTACCATCACAAAGAATTAGACAAATAATCACTTTAATTTCCTATTATGCAAAATGCACAAGAATTAAATCCAATTTTATTATTAAATATCCAATTTATAATAAATATAATTTTATTCTAATTTATTTTAATTATTTTTTAATTATTTTTTAATTATTTTTTAATTATTTTAATTATTAAAAAGATAAATCAATTCTGTTATATAAAAGAACTGAAATACATAGAAAACAATTAGAGAAAAATAAAAAAAATTCAAAATTTTCAAGCTAATTTTTTGAAAATTAAGGAGTTCATCTCTCCCTTTATAAATTAACCAATTTATTAAATTAATTAATTAAATTAGTAAACTAAAGTTTTACTAATTTCTTCTAATTCAACTGAGAGAATATTTCTAATGTATAATGAACATCTCACTCGTGATACATAATCGCTTTACACTTTCATCTATTAAATCTACATCTCCGTCAAACGGTTACAACATTTTGAAATCATCTCTCATTCATATTTAACTAGAAGGATTAACGCAATCTTCATATTATTCAAATGGAATTTTGAATTGCATGACCAGGTAAGCGTTAAATGCACCGCTAATCAGAGACAAGGCGACCTATATTCGTATTCTGCATTTAGCGCTAAATGCAGCCATCACTGATGCTGAATTTTCTTTGTCCTATATAAAGATCGTATCTACCGCATTATTACGACAGATCGAAAGTAGATAGCCATATTAGCACTAAATGTATGATACGAATATAAACTAAAGTGTTAAATCATGATTTATGATGCAAGCTTATTTTATATTAGCACGCTAAATATAACACACACTAGATTTGGCTGGCTGAATTATATAAAAATGATAACGTAGAGTAAAATAAGTGTATAAAAATCATCACATATATCGCGAAAATATATCGTATTTTCTACAGTGATATTAAATTTGGAAAAACCACACTCGCGAACAATATTTTGATTGACGACATTTTAATGAAGATCCATTTAATCTTTGGCTTTCTATATGAATTTACAGTGATTATATATTTTAATTTTATTTTAACGTTAAAATGCGATCTTCATATTATTCGGACGTTTCATATTTCGGAAATTCCAAAATATATGATTGCGTAAAAGCTTACATGCGACGTGAAACATAAATTCAAATGGATGGTAAACGTATTTCTTAGCGAGAGTTATTGCTTTGCTATGATTATTCACGTCAGGATTATCAGAGATATGATAAATCTGGCTATTATGATTTTAGAGATTAGTGTCTTCTAAAACGATATTTGAGTCGTAAAAAAAGAATTAATAACGACTCATTACGCATTAAAGTTACAGCAGAGGTAAATCATTATTTCTGAGAACTGAAAAACTGATCAGTTCCTTAATGATCTTGACATTTCGAGCTTCTGATTGTTATTAAGCTCTCTCGATTTCCTTGTTATATTATCGAAGAGACAATATTTTAAATTGAGAAAATTTAATTTAAATTCTCAGTACACTCACATGATAATTATCAAAAGTTGGAAGGACACATTTACGAACTAATTTGGCATACATTTCTACAGATGTATCGCGAACGTGCAGCTATTTAATTCTGAAGAGAGAATTTATCAAAGTTCTCGGCAGCACATCGAAGGTTCAACGGATTCCATTTATAAGTTTCACAAACACATTTCAAGTGTTCGGCTATCTGGTTTCGAATCGAAGGAATTATTTAAGACTCCTAGAGTGTGCAGGAGTCAAGTTCTAAATGGTCTTGCATTAATGTTACAGACACATCTCGAGAGTCGTGACTGTTTGGCTTCGAGCTTAAATCATCAAGATTAACACATAGGACCCTCACAGACCCTGATAAATGTCGAGGGCTCGTTTCGACATGAATCTCGAATCCTATGCGAATGACGATCTCTCGCGCGTATCTCCGAGCTGCTGCCGCCCGTATTCGCACGGTAATTGCACACTGGCTACCATTTGAATAATTTCATCCACGCGGCAAGGACACGTACTCACCAGGGACGTACGTGGCTAAGCAATCCTACGCGATCTACGCCTAGTTCCCGAATGAATGCTCGCTTCTGCGGTCACCGATGACTATGTCCGCTGATATCCGCCGCGCCAAGCCATTCTCTGTGGGGCATGTTGTTGCCATCGAATGCACAAGGATTGCAAATGCGATCGGATCGGCAAAGTCCTCAAACGTTGCGCTAAATAACGCGCGTTCGCGATTACCGCATATACATTGTTTCTCGGTTCGATCGATCCCGCGATTTGCTGCACTTTGAATATTAGCGCACACAGCCGTTCACCTGTGATAATCCCCGATTATACTAGCTAAGAGGAATATGAATACTCAAACTCGGCACCCCGCGGGACTTTAATTATTACCTGGAAATACTCGAGATCTTCCTTGACTTCCTAACCTTTAATCGTTCGACTAATTCATTCGCTTAGCTCGGGGGATGCAAATTTAATTTCTCGACTTTCTCTTCAAATCTTCGAAGGAAAGAGAAAGTCGTAATGTCTCCTTTATAGATGGGAATACTTACTCGTTTGTGAGATTCGTTAGCGTAAACTTAAATCTTAAACGTGAATCCCTGGTGTTTATGCGATCTTTACCAAGAACGGTGAGAACTTGGCGCGCTTCATAGCAAACGATAATACCAACTTTGCAAATTCAGTAGCATCAGAAATGAAAAAAAAGCACTGCTATCAGCTATTCAAAGCGAATATTAATCTCTGTTCACGTTATTCGAAATCCTCCAAAACTTTTGCACTTAAAATTATATATATATAATTATTTATATATTATACTCGGTGAGCGTTGAAAAGAAAAGAAACGGGGATGAGTGTAAACAAGAACTTGTACTTAAACGATGACACAAATCAAAGATAAAACTCATTTAGGGTGAATTAATATAATTATTTCGCGCCGAGACTTCGAAGTCGCCTCTTAGATCGGTTCTTATGTCCAAGATCGTCTTAAGCTGTCATAAATCAATCATAGAATTAGCATTATAAATCAATAACAGATATTGTCATTTTAAAACATTAAGATGGTCTTGAAATAAGAACAAAGAATTAAAAAATTATGAATACCTTATTTTAAGAATATCTAGAGACTTTTTACAACATCCAAGTTATTATGATGCCGCAAAAATCGCTATTGTTCGCAGAGACATGTGTCTATCTAAAAAAAAAAAGTATTATCTCGACAATGGTTAAAGGACTTTCCGTCCCAATGAAGCGGCCAAGAAAAGGGCAAGATCGTATGTAGTAGAGTAACGTACCTTGAGTTTTTCCGCTTGGGCGAATTTCTCGTTGTCCCGCGTATCACGATGCGCGATAACAAGCGTAATTATGTCGCGGACACGTGATGATCCTTTGCTCCGTTTCTTTTTTTTCTAGATTTTTTCGATGTTGTATATTCACGAAGTGCGTTTGATGATACCGTGCGCGTTTACGCATAAAACGACGTATCCGCCTCGCGCTCGCGCGCGCGCGCGCGCGCGCAAACACTCCGCCCTCGCGGTATACTCGCGGCCACGATCGCGCGAGTCTCGCCGGTCTCGCGGTGACTCGCGGCGAAGTTCAGACCGTTCAGACGGCGCGTACTCGCCCGTCCGTCCTTCGTTCCGCGCTACCCTTCATTCTTACGTAGAAATAAAGAACAACTTTAACTCTTACCGGCGATCGACGGCCGACGGTTGACAGACGTTGCTACCGAATGGTAAATATACTCACAGTTCGCGTGGCACGCGGACGCGCAGCTGCTACTAAACTCCTTCTCGAGCGCGAACCAAACGTGACTCGAAGTGCGCGCGCCGCCACCGCCGAGAAACTGGCGGCAATGAATATAGTCCCCGTCGACGCGACGGCGTCGTCAACGATGACGACGACGACGCCCTCGTCGATTAAAACAACCCCAAAAGGGTTGGCCTACAAACTTCTCTCGATCAACTCTGCAGAAGATTAATAGAGGATTGCAACAATGTTTATGATGAAGAAACACGGGAATTATACACAGTTCGAAAATTTGTATTAAATTAAAAACAAATTTAATATAGTTCACGTGTCCCGATGGATCACTTAAAGGCTTTTATTAATTTAGCACAAGATGATGAATAAGTTGAAAAGTAACATATTAAAAAATCAACAGAAAATATTGACACAATTTGTCAGCAAATTGTGGAAGTATAGCTTTTCAGTAAAATTAATATTTATGATAAACATTAAATTAACATGGATTTTATTCATCTTAGAATTTACATTTGAAACACATTATTCTTATGTTATTTATTATCATAATTATATTATTTTGACACTAAGAAATTGAATATCAATTTAACATAAACATTTAAACAACGTGATTACATTATAATAAATCAACATCAGAGTATACTAAAAACTTAACATGAAATTTTAACAAGAACTTGAATGGGTCATTTTTAATATAAATAAAATTTTTTTTATTATATATTTTTATTATTCTTTAGTTTCGTAAAACAAAGATAGAGAATAACACAAACAGCGCTAATATATCGTCTTAAACACACTCTGGAAGTCATTTTTCAATCAATAACGATTTATTTCAATTTGATGACTTGTTATTCTACCAGCTGTAGAACATAAAATCATAATAGATTAAAATATGATACCAAGTAAAGGTCATTTTAGGAAGAATCATAATGATACACTTTTGACAATAATAATTTTGTGATAAATTCTTGATATAATAATATTTAACTGATTTTTTAACTAAAATAAGATACAAATATTTTAATAAATGATTCATTATTTCTTATTTAAGCAAATTTCTATTATTAATAAAAGAAAGGTTCTACAGAAGAATTGTTTCCACACTAGATTACAGGATTACATTATAGGAACTATAATATTCGAATATCGGAATCGTTGGATGGCAAATGGTAACGCAATTACGCATACACTTCATGTCAGTCACTTCGAATGTCTTCGAGCAATAATTAAAGTTCCGTAAAGTGCCTCCGCTCAACTCGAATATTTCCCCGCAAGTTTAGCGGGTTTATAGAATCATCAGTGTTACACGGTTGCATGAACTAATATTCAAAGTGCGGCAAATTGGCTCTTCTTGTTTCACAAGAAAATAGTGGAAGAGATTCGCTCGGGTGAACTCAGCAACATCACGTGATGCTTTGTTACCTATTTAGCGATTTCTTTTTTATGCTATAAATCTCATCGAATATAAAAGTTGAATTTTTTCCGAGTTTTTATATCATTTTTAGTTTATACATCACCGGAATCATTATTTTATCATCAGAACTATTTTCCTTGATACCGTCATTTTCAGAACACTCGTGCTTTACAATAGCAGAAGAGAAAAGAAAACAAACAAAATGTATCTGAAAGAACTGTGATAGAATAGTTAAGAGAAAGAACTGGTATGTTAAAGCTTTGTTTTTTCTAGCTACGTTTTCTCTGACTTTTTATGCTCGAGCCATTAAAGCCGACAATATCCCGAGGCGTTTTTTAGACACATACACACACACACACACACACACACACACCACGTGCGCGCGCGCACACACACACACTTATACCCTCCTAAATCGTTCCAAATCAATTTGTGGTAACGTGAAACAATCGTTACGACATTCTCGACATGATTCTTGTTATGATTCAAGGTGAAAATATCTACAATTGTCGTCCTTGTGGAATAACGAGCAAATGTCACATGGAAAATTGCTAAAAATTTTACGTAAATAAGCGTAGAATAAAGAAATGCACAATTTGTCGCACGCATACACACACAACACACACACACACACACATTAATTTAATAATTTAAATAAATAATAATTTCATCATCTTGTTAAAAATTCATTCTGTCAATCTGTTTCTTTTGCATATCATATCGCTTGAACGAGTCTCTGAGTTAGAATAAAAATGAGTCCGAAAATTAATTGTATTTTGCCCAGCTAAAAATATACTCCATATGTCGATCGCACCTGATCATACATCGCACTTAGATGTATCAAAAAAGTAATAAAAACAGATAGTAACTCAATGATAATCTTTATTACATCAAAAAGAGAAAGAGAAAGAGAGAGAGAGAGAGAGAGAGAGAGAGAGAGAAAGGAGAAAATTTTTTTTTCTTTCTTCTCAAATATTCGAAACCATATTTCTGATCCACAGACATGTGTTCAAAGATTCGATTGAGGCGCACGTGAGCAAACATTTAGTCTGGTAAGAAACATTAATCAGTTAATTAAACAAATTGTAGAAGTGAACTTTATTACATTTTGGATAAAATTTTCTTTTAATCGGCCTATTTACACGATCAAGTATACGATCGATTGCAAATGTGATCACAAAGTGCACGTGTATGCTTACTGACGATAATTTAGGTAACTTCCACAAGGTTTACAATTTAGAACCAACTGTCGACATTTCTACCGGGTTAGAATTCGTTGATTTTAATCGTGCAATACATGCTTTTGCAATGAGAGGTCTCCGATAGTCTTCAATACAAATTCGAAAAAAATTATTCGTTCAATTACTTGTGATTTATTTTTTACGAAATTATTTTTTAAGAAATAATTAATTAAACATCTCTTTTACATTTCAATGTTCCTAATTTATACTTCGATCTTTAGCTTCATTAGTTTAAAGAGAGGAGAATGCAATATTTCCATTTCACATTCATAGAGATGAAGATGAAATGTTCATGCAAGGGTGCGTGCAGAATAACGTTGAATTTCAGCCGCTGTTTGAGAAATATGCGTAGGATATATTGTCTGACGACAAATTCACTGCATACAGGTCAAGGAGCGCCGCGCTTTTTTTGTCAACTGCACCATAAAGCACGCAATCTTGTCATCTTGACATCGTCACAAACGAGCCAAGGCTTTCGTCACGCAATTGCTAATTAATCATCATTTTATCCCTGTAAAAACTAATTAAATACAGCTCATTGTTGTAGCGAAAATAAATAATAATTTCATTGATTTTCTATCTTTTTTCAATTTCATCTGAAAAATAAAATTAATCAATTAAACTGCCACAAAATTATAAAAATTGTAACGGCAGTTCGTATTCATATTTTAGTACACTCTAATTTATGTTTAGTTTTTTTAATTTAATCTAAAAGTTGTCATGTAAAATTCTAGTAAGATATCATTATCGACTCATATTACTACAATCTTAAATATTTTTTATTATACATGAAAAAAACAGATTTAATTATTAAAAAAACTTTGATAGATCGTCCAATAAAATTATTTCCAGATCTGTATCATATATCTAAATTTTTAGATACCTCAGCAAAAACCTATTTTTTCCTTATATATTCAGCAATAATCAAATGCAAAGTGAAGGATATCAAAAGGCAAAGATAAAATGCAATTTTGAATTTCACACGTCTGGATAACAGAAGGTATTTAAAGTCTCGCGATATACATAAGTCTGTTGTAGATTTTGATCAAACACTATGACGTTTTCATACCGATGTCTTATCGGACGAACCAACATCAACAGAAAGATTTATCATGGGTATAAAAGATCTTAGCTGCAGTCTAAAAATATTTTCGTGGAAATAGCTTTAAATCTCTGAAACTTAAAATCTATATATTTATATGTTCTATCATATTAATATTAAGAATTGAATGACTGTTGCAATCATTTAAATTCACAATAACATTCACAGCTTCTATTGAGTGTTTTTTTTTTAATCTCAGTCGACAAATAGTTTTACTATTAAATAAAAGCATAACGATATATAGGATTGTTTCTTTTATTTTTATTTTTAGTGTAAAAAAATACACTTTCATTTTTATACTAAATATGAAAATAAGGAGAACTTCTAAAGGCCTTAATCTTGATATATGATGTCAAGATCATGACCCTGAACAATGTTTAAAAGGTTTTAACCATCAATCTGATACCTTAGATAATGCCGGCGGTACTGTAACTTTCAAACCTTACAACTAAAAAAATACTTAATGAAAAAATATTTTGTTATGATTTTTTGAAAAGCTTTGAGATAGGCTATGCAACAAATATGCAACAAAAAGTTTGTTTCTAACAAAAAGTGAGTTTCCATTTTTAAAAAATCAATGCGATTTTGACCTGATCTTAATGACGTCTAAATTACTCAAAGTCAAACTCACTAATAAGATTAGTAGTAAATCTTTTTAAACCTTAAAACTATTGTCTGAACATATTTTGGACTGGACCTTATCAGATCGAAGATAAAAGGAATATACGGGTGAGGAGTATTTGAGATACCCTGTACAAGAAACAGATTTTAACGTACATCATCTTAATTTTGTTATATCATTCTGAAAACGTCATGTGATGAAAGCTTTTATCGGAAGATATCTTGATGGAAATATGTTATGTTTTATATATATATATATATATATATATGTGTGCAACAGAATCGGTTGATAAATAAGTAAATATAATGCATCCTCGACATGTATACAACGAGTATATAAAGATGAACCGATTGTCCCGATATTCTCAATTACCCGAAAGTATCGTTTACGGAAAGAACATAGTTATCTGATACGGCGAATAAAAGAATATCTTAAAAATGGAAACCATCAATGTCACCAAGAATAATGATATTAACAAATTGTTCTCTTTTGAAGAAGTGAAGGAGATAACAAAACGCGCGCTGAGTAATGACACCAATCTAATAAAATACGCTATTCGACCGTACTCCAACGGCAGGCTCGGATATCTCAGCTCTCATTATCGACTCGATATAATAGCT